ACAACAAGCTGCAGTCGTTTGAATTAATCATAAAATAATGACAAGAAAAAGACATTTTCACAAAAAGCTTGAGGCTCAGAATAATAGAGATTAAACACAAGTTTTAAAAAGTTAACTTGGAAGAATTAAACTCTGCTTTATAAATTGTTTTGTGTTGTACAATCTAATTAATCTGTCTTGGAAAAATAACTTATCCTCTAAAGTCCCACATTCTTCTCAAGTCAAGAGTCAGTGACCTCTTTTGCTTACCTTAAAATGTCATCATGTTTTATGATTTTACTCTTTATCTTCYGTTGTCTCTCAGATAAGGTTTTTCACAACCAGGACAATATCTGTTTAGAAGTAATCATTCTTGTTACTGTTTATCAAACATCATATTCTCCTTGGCCCAGCTTTGGCATCAAGAGAGATGTTTATTGTCTGTTTGGATAACATGCTGTATAAATGCGTGTATTTGACACTACCTCATTGCACACATTTTGTATCACTGCCCTGTGTGACATGATGTGTGTCTGCAATTGCAATAAATCCTGATTGACCATTCACGGAGTACTTTTTTATTTTTGGACCACATGTTTCTGTCTTGGGTAAATAAAGATTTCCACGTCAAATGCAGTTATAATTTCCACATTTCACAGCTGCTTCTTTATTTGAGATTTAAGTAACCACAATCTAACATGATGTTGCTGATATGAAGTTTGGGTTGAGCTCTGATAAAAGGCCTGACCTCAAAGAAAGTTTTAACAATTTATTATAAATGAACACAAGCTTGACGTCAAACTGGTTTGGCAAMGGATCCGGGTCAGTCAGTTCTGGACACAGAAACAGATTTAGTGGCAGGACAAGATTGGTAAATGATTAAAACATTAATCAAAACCACTAACCTGTTCTTTGCTGGTTGAGTCTGGGAGGAAACACTGACGGTGTTAGTTTGGTTCCGGAGGGAGGTGATGACTTCACCGTGAGTTTGTATCTTCAGCTGGGGTCGGAAACACTGAGACTGAGTTGTTGGGCAGGCAGGGGTCATACACGATAATCCAAGGAAAGATTCTGGTTTGGAGGAGAAGACGACTCTTGGTTCCGTGAGGCAGGCATGGGTTCCAGGAAGTCCGAAGGAGAGAGGTGCCGTTCAGGGGAGAGACAAGAGACGTGAGCCAAAAAACCAGAACAAGGGTCATTACCGTAGGAGCAGACGACTGGACAAAACCAAGGGGGCCAGAGGCAGGAATCAAAAAACCAGAGGACATGAGTGGGGTCAAAAACATGAGGCAATAGCAAGGCATGGGACATGAATTCATGACATACTTTAATGACCTAGATTTTCGCTGTTCATCTGCAGATAGAATGATTAAAGTCAGAACAAGATCTGCTAACAACAATCATTCTTGAATATCACTTGTGTTTATCTTTGTGTTTTCCCTTGACCTTGTATCAAATCTTGCCAAGATGACATAATGGTGTTTGTTAATATACTGTATATATGAGGCCTCTCGAGTGAGTGAGACGGAGAGACAGTGACAGAGAGAGGCAGAGGCACAGAGACAGGGCAGGTTGTTCTCTGTGTTTCCTGTTGTTGCAATAAAACTCAGCTGATCATC